GGCCGGCCTGCCAGTGGCTTGCTGGCTCATGTTTTGGGGCCACTGAGTCAGGGGCAGTGACTGCTGGCTCGGGGCTGGCAGGCTTGGAGCTGGCACAGGCACTGTGGCCAGGGACTGCCACTTTAATGGCTCCAGGGCTGCAGGAGAGGAGAGTAAGCTTTCCTGGTTGTGCCCAGAGTGGCCACCAGGGCTCCCTGGGAAGGGCTGGAGGCCCCCTATTTCGAATTAAGTGTCTACACAGCACTTAATTCGAAATGGCTATTTTGAATTTGGTGTTACGCCTCACAGAATGAGGTTTACCAAATTCGAAATAAGGGCTACACTATTTTGAATTTATTTCAAAATAGCGGTTTGCCTGTGTAGATGCTATTAAAGTTAATTCGAAATAACTGCTGTTATTTTGAATTCACTTTGTAGTGTAGACATACCCTACTTTGCTCTGCCTATTCTCACTTACAACATAAGAACATAAGAACAGCCGTACTGGGTTAGACCAAAGGTCCATCTAGCCCAGTATCCTGTCTACCGACAGTGGCCAACACCAGGTGCCCCAGAGAGGGTGGACCAAAGGAAATGATCAAGCGATTTGTCTCCTGCCATCCCTCTCCAGCCTCTGACAGACAGAGGCCAAGGACACCATTCTTATCCCCTGGCTAATAGCCTTTTATTGACCTAACCTCCATGAAATTATCTAGCTTCTCTTTAAACTCTATTATAGTCCTAGCCTTCACAGCCTCCTCTGGCAAGGAGTTCCACAGGTTGACTACACGCTGTGTGAAGAAGAACTTTCTTTTAATAGTTTTAAACCTGCTCCCCATTAATTTCATTTGGTGTCCTCTAGTTCTTCTATTTAGGGAACTAATAAATAACTTTTCTTTATCGGCCCTCTCCACACCACTCATGATTTTATATACCTCTATCATATCCCCCTTCAGTCTCCTCTTTTCCAAACTGAAAATTCCCAGTCGCTTTAACCTCTCTTCATGTGGGACCCGTTCCAAACCCCTAATCATTTTAGTTGCCCTTTTCTGAACCCTTTCCAAGGCCAAAATATCTTTTTTGAGGTGAGGAGACCACATCTGTACACAGTATTCAAGATGTGGGCGTACCATAGTTTTATACAGGGGCAGTAAGATATTCTTGGTCTTATTTTCTATCCCTTTCCTAATAATTCCTAGCATCCTATTTACCTTTTTGACCGCCAATTCAATCCTACTGCTAGTACTTAATAAAATCATGTTTATTTACTATCAAGCCCAGTATAAATAATTGTTACCTGGGGGAGAAATCAGTGGGTACATCCTCTTTTCATTGTTAAAGGGGGATTACCTAAATAATTTATTTGGGGTTCTGATTCCATTTGGGGAGTGGTATCCCAGGAAGCTGGGACCATCACTGTATTTTCCTCGAACCTGAGGAGTTTCAATGTCTGTACTGTCCTCGAGGGGGCAGTGATCTCAGCTCTGTGCCTTCGCTGGGGGAGACAAGATGAATTGGCCCAGCAAGATAGTGGTGAGAAGCCCCAGAAAGCAAGAAGGTGAGTATCAGTGGCTTTGTCAGCACTCTGGGAAACACCACCAAAGGGTCTTTTGTGACCACACCTCGTTACATACACATTGCCCTTAAAATCAGTGAGAGTGAAAATATCCTACAGTCTTTCAACATGTACATATAATTAAAAACTGACATCCTATTTTGAAGCCTGATTTAAAGTCCATTATAAACAGCAAAACAACTCCAGTGTAGGCTCTTAGCCTTAGTTTTTGTGCTGTGCCAGGTTTAAGATCCAAGTACAGAATGGACTGTTCAAAAATAGGGGCGACCCTGCAGTTCTCAAAATATGTAGTGGTGACCTTTGATTTTCTGCATTCCCCAGAAAGTCCCTTGGCTGCTTCACCAAGGACCAAATGGCGCCACTCCAGACTCTGACTGAATATAACCTGAGCCTAGGCCCTATGAAGGTGGTGGAAAGGTCACACACACATATGCCACTTTTATTCTCGCACTGTGTGGCTGCCTTGATGAAAAAACAGGGCTGGCACTGCACAGCAGGCTGCACCCAGTGGGGAGCCATTGTTTTCAGGAGTCTGCAAGCACTGCTGTGCATAACAATGAAACCCGGAGAAGGGGAACTACCAGCGCCCTCAGCGGCACTGTTCAAATAACCTCTCCAGGCATGCTATTGCTGGGGAAGGAATGGCTCACCTTGTAAAACCAGACATTTTTAAAAGTGCATCTTTTACTACCTGCAAACACTTCCAAACACAGGCAACCATTGTCTGAATAGGGGTATACGCCACTACAGGGGAGTTGACAGCCTACATGAGCCCCTGGGCAAGGTGTGAGGGGAGGGCATGGCTCTGTGATAGAGTTGCCAGGTGTCTGGTTTTCACACGGACAGTCCAGTATTTGCGGGCTCTGCCCGGTAAAAAAAACCCAGGAAATACTGGACATGTACAATGTCCGATATTTCCCATTCCCCAGGGACGGAAGCCCAGCAGTGACAATTTTCCCCTGCCACATCTGCCAGGGGTGGCGGAATGAGGGGTGCGGCACAGTCTAGCGAAGGGGGAGCAGGAGGATACATGCCAGGTGCCACGCAAGGGGGGCGTCGGGTTGGGCTGGGAGTGGAGCGTGCGCTGCTCTGACCCACGTGACCAGCAGAGACTGGGAGCTGGCCACATTATGCCTCCCTCTCTCTACTCTGTGAGCAGAGGCAGCCGGGCCAGGCGGCAGGAGCAGCCACTTTAAAAGTCAGATTGTTCCTCCGTGCCTGGCTCTGCAGAGGGGAGGGGGGAGATTTGATTGGGGCGGAGGCTTCCGACTCTGGGGATGCCTGCCTCAGGAGGAGGGGGAAGTGCACTGGGATGGGGGAATGCTGGGGGGGCCTGGCTCTTAGGCAGGGGTGAGTGCATTGTGGGGTTAGTGTGTGGTTCCAAACTGGAGGGAGAGGTGCAACTTTTGCTGAACAACTTTGGCTCCACCACCCCCTTTTTTTTTGCTTTTGTTTACCAACTTTGGTCTCCCCCTTTTTTTTCCCCCCTTGACAGAATTTTTCCCCGGTGTTGTTGTTTTTTTTGTTTGTTTGTTTGGGTTTTTTGGGGGGGGGGGGGAGGGTGTTCGGTATTTTTTGTTAAACCATCTGGCAACCCTACTCTGTGCTCCCAGAAGGGGTGTGGCCTAGGGTACAAGGGGCAGGGCCAGGGCCAGTTAGCCTTCTGCATTACCCAGAATGTGGTTCACTCCCTCCTCCAGCCCTTAAAGCAGCACGGTGTCCATTTAAAGGGACCCAGGCTCCAGCTGCTGCCATTGCTACAGTAGCAATGGTGGTGCCCCTTTGAATCTCCCAGCCCTGAGACAACTGCCCTGATTGCCGCATTCCTTCTCCCCTCCCCCCCGTCAGCAGAGCTGTACCAATATCTATCCCTTTTAGACTGAGACTGCCAGATTACTGCAGTGACATCCTTCTTACAAAGAGAGGAGCTGGGCAGATAGCTACAGGACAGACCAGGAAAAGCCAGTGAGTTACTGAAAGCCAGAGATCAATAGTAAATGTAGCATGCATCTTCTAGGTAAGTAACTCAATTCTTCAGGCAGGAATTGCTTTTTTATGTCTAGTTTACTGACCCGCATAAATAGTTGGCACCAAACCAGCAACAAGCTGGCCCGTCAGCATAAAGTTTTCTAACTTCACTGAGAGCTGTGGGAGCAGAGATAGCACAGGCCTGTTGTCACCATGGCTGAGTCTAGACTACATGCCTCTGTTGGCAGAGGCATGTAGATTAGACAGACCAGCAAAGGCAAATGAAGCCGCGATTTAAATGATCGCTGCTTCATTTACATTTACGTGGCTGCCGCGCTGAGCCGACAAACAGCTGATCAGCTGTTTGTCGGCTCAG